ACCGGTGGCACCTGGCACCCCATGCCCACTTAGGAGTTTGAGGTGGTGGCTGAGCGGTAAGAGAAGGGAACTGTCCGTTAAGTCAGGAGACCAGGGTGAGAGGGGGCTTTTTGCTTTGTTTTTGCCAGTTATTTGGGGGGGGTGGAGGGGGTGTCTCGTAATGATAGTGGAGGGATATTCGTTAAAGGAGAGAGAATGAAATGCCCTACTGGAAGGGGCAGCGCTTCCGAGGGGTGTGTCCATCTGGCTAGGGGCGCACTTCGCAGCATTGCAGAAGGCGTGTTCTTCCTGACAGCCGCGGCTGAAAGTTGAGATGTAGATGATGAGGGAAGGTAGCTCACTAACAGAGCTCTAGGGGCACCCTGGGCACTGCGTGCTGTGCCAAACTACGGCAGGCACCTTGTGATTCTTAACGTGCTGCCTAGGGCAGGGTGCGAGTGGAAGCAGACTCTTTGCACTGAGACGGTGACTACCCAGAAGTTGATTCTGTGGAGAAAATGTGTTTGCCTACCCTCTCAAATTGATCTGTATGACAGTCGTTTTAATGCCCTATGTATGCTTAATTTCAAAGGTCAGTGAGTTAACATACTCCGCCTGCAGAGCAGGAATACCCGATTTTCCTATCTGAAGCTGTCAGTGGAGGTTCTCTACCCCCTCTTAAAAGGCCTAGTTGTCATTATCATTCCAATCTATGAATGACCAGATGCAGCCAAGAAGGGGCTCTTCTGTGTGATGGGGAGTCAGACTGCCATTACCTGCTCTGTGACCTTGGAAAGATTAATTACATTCTTGTGTGTTATGTTTTTGGGGGCAGAAGATTCTCCTCCCAGCTTCTGGTGTAAACGTAATGCTAGTAAAAAGCTGTGTGAACCCTTGCTTCAAAGGAGTTAAAGGCTTTTTAATTGTAGCCTGTGTATCAAGGCTGAGTTGAGATTTCCCTGATGCTGCCATTTGTCTCCCTTCAAAAGGAGCTGTTTGGGGTGTCAGAGAGTGCCAGACTTGTTAAGAAGTAGGTGTATTTAACCTCACTGAAATAGAGTTTCTACATTACTCAGAGTTCCTTGGAAATGTGGTCAAAGGTACCCAGATCGCTTTCACTTTCTGTTCAGTGAATACCAGGAAGGGCCTTGCAAGCTCTTGAAAGGCTGTGCTTGTGTCTGGTGGCCTGACTGGCTTTGGGGAAGTTAATTTATAGAATATTGAGGTTTTGCTGATACTGTTGTTTCTGAACCAGAGGGATATTAATTTAGGAAAGGACTGCCTGATTAATTGCAGAATAGTGCATTAACCCCTTTCTTAGAGTTGACAGTTTATTTGAATTTTAACAATGAAATGTGACTTTCCTTTCTGGGAGAGCTCCCCAATTTGTTTTGTTTTTAAAGTAAATCTGTGTCTTTACTCACATCAATATAGATGAACAGAAATTAATATGAAAGCTTGGTTACAAATCCAAACAAACCACTAGTGGTCTTAAAGTTATTAAAGAGTTAAACCGTTTTCTTAATTTTGCAAGATTGGGGTAGGTTCAGCCAGAGATTTATGTGTGTATGTGTCTTTGTTTTGGGGGGGTTTGTTTGTTTTCTATTTTTTGAGATTCTGTCAGATTTTGTTTTAATTAGTCAGAATATAACCATCATGTGCACACCTTCTGTGTGTGTATAAGTGTGTTTAAAGAAAGTAAATAAACCCACATCTGGGTACCTATGCCATTATGAAAAAGGCGTATTTTCATCTTTACAACAACAGTGTGAGGTTGATTTGATGCAGTTTTACAAATGGGAAAACTGGTATTAAGAGAAATTAAATAATGTTTTCAAGTAGTCAATGAAACAAACCAGTGTTGGAATAATAGTCTTACTTCCAAAGCCCAACATTTCTTCAACTCAAGTATTGGCTTGTCATCACAATCCGAATTTTGGGGACCGCCACAGCTTGGGCATGTTCTAGGAGCAATGAAAAGTCAGGGATGCTAGATTCTAGATTTTCTTCTGATTCTGTGAATAGTCTTACCTGCTTTATTTTTCTTATCTGACAGAGGCCTAATCCTTTCTTAAGACTTAAGAGGCTTAATTAATTAGTGTTTATAAAGTGACTGAAATATTCAATTGAAGTTGGATATACAGAGTCCCTTTATAATTCAGTTACTTTCCAAATAATTGTCTAAGTTCCCTATGGACAGTTGATCCGCCATTGCTTTTTAAATCCAGAAGAAAAAACAGCTTCTGTGGCATGTGTGAAGACCAGAGGTCAATTTAGGGTAGTCAATAAGCCCCAGAATGCTTCCACTCCCTGCCTCCCCAAGGCTGAACTCCAAGAACATGCTGCCACTTCGAACTCACTCTGTAGACCAGAGATCCAGCCATGTCTTTCTCCTGAGTGCTAAACCTCCGTGCTGATTCAGCCTCTTATTTTGCTTTGTTGATGACCTTGAGCTCTGTCTAATCCACCTGCCTCTACCTGCTCAATGCTGGGGCTGCAGTCCTGAACCACGACACTGATTTTATACAGTGCTGAGGATTGAATCTAGTGCTCTATGCCTGTCAAGTAAGTTTTCTGCCTGCTGAGCTGTATTCCTAGTCCTCATTTGGTTTTTCAGACAGTATTGCTACTTAGCCAAGACTGTCTAAAACTCTTGATCCTCCTGCCTAGGCCTCCCCGGTGCTGGATAACATGTGAGCACTACTGTGTGTGGGTTTTTTTCTTTTTAATTAAACTATCCTATTCTTCTGGGTCTGGCAAAAATCTTGTGTGAGCATTAGAGAAGTGACCCTAACCCTCATTTATCTCTTCCTACACCTGACCATCCTTACTGCCCACACATCACCCTTGACAGACAAGCTGGGCATGTCTTCCCATGAATTTATGTGAACACTCTTCAGGCTAAGTGACCTCGTAGAGTTAACTTACCATGAGAATACCATAATTTAAGAGATCTGTTCTTTTATATATACATATATTTGTAGAACAGAAAAGAGTTCTGATACTTCTTTTATCATATGACTTTATCATCAAGAGAACCAATTTCAATGGGGAAAGATACACATTGTTATTTGGTATACCAAATACTGTAGTAACAAGCATAATTTTAAAAATATACTTTCAATGAGATAAAATTAGCTTAAAATGCAAGTAGCTTGCATTTTTGTAGTTCTTTATGGTGAGTCTTCAAAGTATTATCTTAATGAAACAGTAATTTCACTTTAGCCCCATACAGATAGATGGTGGTAAGTGTACTTTATAAAGGAAAAACCCATTTGAGGAAGTTTAAATGTGGGCTAATGCTTCCTAGCTAATAAGTGGTACAGTTGAGCCGTTACTTTTGAGTCTCTAAATATGTTCTCTCAGAAACCCACAAGTGATGTAACTGTATTGTCTTCCTTTCAAGTATTCTATTGTCCATCTTTAATTTTCAGAATCTCTGAGAGACTGGGGAGTGAGTAGAGTAGGCAACAGAATGTCCTGTCGTACAGGGACAGGACCTCAGAACAGAAGCGCTATGACTGTCTTGACCTAAATTCTGTTGCAGGTCCAGGCTCCAGCCTCTCATTGCTGCCTCCCTTCCCTACAGAGTCCTACTTGTCACTGGTCCCAGCAGATAGTATCCGCTATGGGCCTTCCCACACTACTGGACTGGCCTGTCTTATAAACAGGAAGCCTCTGTTCATTTATATGTAGTACATTTGTAAGAGAGGAACAAGCTCCCTGGATGAGAGACATTTCATATTCAGTGAAGGAGTTTTCTTTTGTTTGAGACAGGGTCTGGCTGTATATCCCTGCTGGCCTCAAACATGCAGTAGTCCTCTTGCCTCTGTGCAGTAGTCCTCTTGCCTCTGCCTCCGGAGCTGAGACTAGTAGTGTACACACCATCATGTCCAACCAGGCCTTTTCCTTTCTGAAGCCTTCTTCAATCTTTCCCCACTCTTTTTTTTTTTTTTTTTAAATGCTGGGTACTGAACTTATAGTCTCAGTACATGCATTTCTACCACTGAGCTACATTCCCCCATAGCCCTCAACCTTTTCTCTTAATCTGGCCCCTTCCTGTTCTACAGCTTTTGCCTGAGTCTCCCTAAACCTCCATGTGTACCCACCTTCCAGCTCAGTAATACTTCTTTCCCCTATTTGCCAAAGTACTCATTCTAAAGTGCTTAAAAATGTTTGTAACAATAAGTCTTTACTCCATCCGCCCAAGCCCTGCCTCCATGGGCAATTTCCGCCAGGCCATCCCAGTTCCACCTGCTACCACGTTAATGTCCTTAGGTACAAATGCTGCTTGGCCAATCGACTAGGATTTCTTATATGCTAGCTCAGTCTTAATTATCATAAATCTATATATTTTATAAGACTTATCTTATCGAGGACGCTGGTGCCCTCTCTTGCCAGTGGATCACATAGCGACTCCAGAGCAGAGACCAGGAGGAAAAGCAAGAGAAAAAGGGACTACTTCCTGTTTGTCCCTGCTTATATGAGTCTGCCAGCTATGTCACTTCCTGCCTGTATCACAAGACTTCTTTTTATTACATTTCCCAGAATCCTCCTCGACTCCTAGTCCCACCTAACTTACTGCCTCATTGGCCAAACAGTACTTTATTCAACAATCAATAAGATGAACATACACAGAAGGACCTCCCCATCAAATGTTCATTGATTACCAGACCTATAAGATAGGTCTGGGTGTAAAATCACTTATTTGCCTGACATGATGATAATACATGCCTGTAATTCCAGCACCCCAGAGGCAGAGACAGGAGGATTACTTCAGGTTTAAGTAGATAAAGAAGCAGCATACAAGACAATGTCCTGAGATTGGAGTCTGGTTCAGTTAACATAACAAGTTCCAGGCTAGCCTAAAACTACATGGCAAGACCTTGTGAAAAATAAAACTTCACCTATTTAACCTGTCCTTATTTCAAG